TTTGCACCATGCCTCCCAATTCCCTTCATCTTCTACCATTGCCTTTCTTACTCTTCTTTTTCAGCTAATTCCCCAAGAATGTCTGTTCCAGCCAGTAGCCTGAAGATTGGTCATTGGGCCTGAAGGTCATAAATATACCCCACCCTGAATATCAGCACACACTGCATGGAAGTGTAAGCCAACCCCTAGATGACTGTTCAGTGTTGAAGAGGATGATGCTAATCTAGGCATTTTGATTCAGACTTAAGATAAGCCTGACAATTTGGATTCGTTTGAGGAAGTTATTAGTGACCTAAATATCTCTACCAATGGTGTTCATCATTAAATACTTGATGCCTGGCATATGGTGCTTTTTAAAATTATTTTTTCAATAAATGAAAGTAGATTTAGGGGATTTGGTTCAGGAGGACATAAAAAGAGGTTTTGTATTAATTTTGTTTAGTACGGAGTTTGGAACTGAAGAATCATTTAATAATTATCATTTTAAACTGCAGAATAGTGTGTGTCGAGCCTTTCTGAAACACTCTATACACTGAAATGCAAAAAAGACTACTACATTGGAAACCTTTGAAAGAGCTCATATTCTTGACCAGTAGGTGGCACTCTTATTCCATAGTTTAGAGAGAAGGTGCAGCAGCTGGTAAAGAATTTCTTAATTGTTTGAAGTGTTCATTTTCCCGTGTCCTCTCCCCATCTCTATGTAATCCCTCCGCATTTCTATTCTACCCCAGGCAACTGTCTTATCCACACTTTCACCTCTCTTTAGGTGCCCAGAGATGTCTTGCTGCCAGTCTCTAATTACTCATAAGAAAATATCTGTTGTACTTATTAACAGTCACCTCAGAGGAATAGGACCAGCTACATCATTGTCAGAACCCTGTGTAAAATGAAAAGGCAGGACTCCTTATTCAAAAAGTATTGAGAATTTTAAGACAGTAACAGCACAGCCTTAAACCAAGCACAGGGCCCTTCTGAGCCTGCATAGGTTGTACACCCATGAAACCAGCCATACTATAAAATTATAAATAATAGTTCCATCTTCCCCCACCACCCTCTGTCATTCCATTGCCCTCTCCCCTGTAACACACACCACAAGGACTGCTTAAGAAAGGAAGAATCACTGAATGTTATTCAGACACCACAGAAACTTAGCACTGGAAGAGAATGTAGAGATCTAGTTGAATTCCTCATTTTAAAGATGATTGAACTACATTCCAAAGAGATGAAGTGACTCTCCCAAAGTCCCCAACTAGTTATGTCACAAACTGGGCTGGAACTAAGTGTCCTCATCTACTAGGCCAAGCCTCGCTCTGTCATGCAGACTCAGTGAGAGACATTTTGTGAAGAATTTTTCTATATAATCAAGATATACTTTGCTCCATTTTCTCTGCAAAAGAAGGGGATATGTTTGTGTTACTGACATTTTGTGGAGTATCACCTATATGCCAGGCAGCATGCTAGATGTTTTATATATAATACCATACTTAAAAACAATCTCAGAAAATCATTACTATTTTTCAGGTGTGAAAAATTGAGGATCAGAACTTGAATTTTAGTCTGTAAGTAGAAAGACAAGAATTTAGGCAAATCTGATTGTAAAACCCATTCCCTTTTCACCACATCATTCCTGACTTTTAGAAAGGCTGAGTCAGCCTGTATTTCCTGAACATTAATCTTGCTTTTGGTCAGCTCTGGGTGAACTTGGGGACTCTTTCCAGGCTATTCATGTCCTTCAAATTTACTAGGCTTACTCCTGCCTTAGTGTCTTGCACCAGGGTGTTTCTTCTGTTTGGAACACCCTTTCCCCAAATAGTCCATGAAAAACAGAGCCATATGTAAGATAGGTGATGGGGACTCCAGGCCTATAGGGTTTTATAGGCCATTGTAAAGACATGGCTTTTTCTTTTCTTTTCTTTTTTTGAGTTGGAGTCTCACCTCGTTGCCCAGGCTGGACTGCAGTGGCATGCTCACAGCCACCCCAGAATCGACTTGCTGGGCTTCGGCGATCCTTCCACCTCAGCCTTCCAAGTAGCCAGAACTACAGGCACACACTACCACACCAGGCTAATTTTTTATTTATTGTAGAGGTGAAGTCTTGCCAAGTTGCCTGGGCTGATTTTGGACCTGTGGAGTCAGGCAATACACTCACTTTAGCCTCCCAAAGTGCTAGGATTACAGGCTGAACCACCAAGCCCAGGACATGACTTTCTTTCTTAATAAAATGGGAGTCATTGCAGTGTTTTGTGCAGAGAAATGATGTGATCTGATTTAGATTTTTAAAGGATCTTTTTGGCTGCTGTGTTGAAAAAGAGACTAAGTGTGTAGGTAGAGAAGGTAGAAATTGAGAAGCTTTTTAAGGGATTATGATAGTAATCCAGGGGAAAGATAACGGTGACTCAGACTAAGGCAATAGCATTGGAAGTGATGGGAAGTAGTTGGAATCTGGATTTTATATGTGCATATAAATACTGATTTTGACTTTTTGTTATGGAAAATTTCAAATCTACATAAAAGTAGAGAAAAGAATGCAATGAAGTCTCATGTTCTTACTTGGTACCCAATGACCCTATTGTGTGTTATTATGTGTTGGACACTTTTCTTTTCTTTTTTTTTGAGTTGGAGTCTCACTCTGGTGCCCAGACTGGAGTGCAGTGGCCGCTCCCGGCCACCGCAGCCTCGACCTGCTGGGCTCCGACGATCCTTCCGCCTCAGCCTTCCAAGTAGGTCGGACACTTTTCAACAGCTGCAAGAATTGTCAATTTGCGGCTATCTTCTTTCATCTATACCCCTTCCCACTTCCTCCCCAACCCTGGATTGTGGAAAAAACTATTTGAAGCAAATCCAAGATACCATGTTTCATGTGTCAATATTTCAACTTCTGCTACTCCAGCTGCTTCTAACTTCCCCTCTGTCCTGCTATCTACCCTATGGCTTCTGTTTGCTCACAGTTTCATGTATTCATGACTTATACTTATTGTCTGCCCTATTTGTTCTATTTAAACCTTTTTCCTTCCTACCATTAACTGTGTATTTGTCAAATTTTAACTCCCTAAAGAGAGGTTCTTGTAGGTTCAGTTAGTTGTTATTGTTCTTTTGCACAGAGTTCATGAGCTTAACAAATTATGGTAGATTGACTGTTCTGGGTTCAGGGACCCTCCCTTGGCTAAGCAGCATAATGACAAGGTCAGCTTTCCCAAAAAGGGGTTATGGAAATGGAAGTCACTTAGCAAGTAATAGGCTGTTCTCCAATACTAACAAATAGTGGAAATTTAATATTAGAAAAGATATAAATTATGAAAAAAATAAATCTGCAGTGAGTCTAGAAATAGATAAGTGTCTAACCACTGAAAGCAGATATTTTACAGTCTGACCTGACTCATTTGTAGTGCTATTCCTGGGTGCCACTAAGGAATTAAGAGACTTTCTTTTTCTTAATATATTTTTGTTTATAACAGACTGAGTAATGGCATAGATCATAATGTACTAAACTGAAAGTCAAGACCTACATTTAATTATTCTGTTCATCACGGACTTTGTATATTAGGCAAGCTAATAAACTTCTTTGTGGTTTAGTCTATCCATCCTCAAAAGAGATGAATACTTACTCTTTTTCTACTTCACATATGTAGACAGGTAAGCTTAGAGAATTAGAAGCACATTGAACTTTTATGAAAAAAAGAATGTGAACATCTAAATAATTATTAATTCAATAATATTAATTATAAATAATTACTGAGTGAAGGTTTTTATGAAGTTATAAAATAAGTATTGTACCTAAGTTTTCTTTTTATAAAAGATTACATATTTTCAAATATTTTTCTTACATTGTAATGTATTTGTCTTGTGCATACAGCACTTAGAACAGCAGTACATGGTGCATAGTAAGAATTCTGTAAATGTTAGCTGTTATCTACATTCATTTGAAAAATAATTTGTCCAAACAAAAGTCCACAGAGCTGCAGTTGCAAATGCTTTAAAAATTGACCTCTATCTTGACCCTTAATATACACCCTGCTAAAATGCCATGGAAGCACGTAAAATAGTACATTATATGAAAATATATTAAGGAAAATTCTTGGAGCTCTGGCAAATTTGCAGTGTATGTGTTTATAGATGGAAGGAAGAAAGGAAAAATAACATTTTTTGGTATCTGAGAACCCCTTTGTTCTCAAAGACTGGTTAGTGGACAGGCTATATCAGAATCACCAGGAAGTTTTCTAAAATTCTTTGTTCTGTTTGAGATTCTGATGTAGAAGATTGACATGGAAGATTACAAATGCAATAATTGGCCAGGAGCAGTGGCTTAGGCCTGTAATCTCAGCACTTTGAGAGGCCAAGATGGGAGGATTGCTTAAGCCCAGGGTGTTCAAGACCAGCCTCGGCAGCATGGTGAGACCTCATCTCTCCAAGAAGGAAAAAAATAAAATATCCAGGCATGGCGGTATGCACTTATAGTTCCAGTTACTCAGGAGGCTGAAGCAGAAGGATCACCTAAACCCTGGAGGTCAAGACTGTGATGAGCCACGATCCTGCCATTGCACTCCTGCCTGGGTGACAGAGTGAGACCCCTGACTCAAAAAAAAAAAAAAAAATCATTGACAGATTAGAAAAATATAACACAGTCATTTAACTTAGTACATCATTTTTTTCCTATCAATTCAAAGTAGTATGTATTGGGGAATATCTATACCTGGAGAAGAGGTCTGGGATGATATCTATCAAAATCAGAATGGTGTTTATCCTCAGATTTGGGGTTTATGGAAATATTTATTTTGTATCTGCTTTTCTTATTTCTAAATTTTCTGGTTGAACATTTATTACCTTTATAATAATAGATGCTACCAAGAAAAACTATTCACAATCAGTGCAGGACTTTAAAGAACCTCCCCCCCCCCCCCGCCCCCAGCAGTCCACGTTTTTAATTTACCAAATGTGGAAAAAACCCAATCCATCAATGCAAATGTCACACAGCTTTTTTTTTTAAGGAGTGAATAATGATGAAGCAATATGGCAACAATATTTATTTTACTGTTTTTAAAAATGTTGCAAATTATTTTATAACACCAATAAATGTATGTTTTAGAGAATGTAAAACATATTAAATTTTAATTAGCTTTTACTTCTTTTACTTTGGTAAGAAAGGAAGTATTCCAATGTTTATATAAAGGACTAATCTGTCAGCAACCTTATACTTGATGGGGAGAGAAAAACAGTTCTGGTACAATACAGAATTTCCATCCAATTTGTATTCTGGGCTGTGCTCCAAGAATAATGCTCAATTCTTTTTAAAGATCCTCTTGGCTTCTACTCCCTCATACGTGTAAGTCTGAAAGGTGTTAGCAAATATAGAAGAATTTACTATTAAGATTTAAGTTCAAATTAATAAAAATATTAATATGATTATAACTTTGAATGAGTGTACTTTTTTCTTGTAATTGATAGCAACATTTTATGCACTTATAAGAAACATATTTTGGTTTGTAGTTATTTACATTTTCAGTTAAAATAGGCATTGATTATTTGACACATATATAAGTTATTTTCAATAAATAGGCATCAGAAAAATTTATACAGTATTTTTTAAATCAGTACAATTTACAAGAATAGGAGTCTGTTTACTGAAGATATAGACCCAAAAAAGTGTTTTGTAAATTTTTTTGCCTTTGGAAAATAGCTATAAAATTTTTTTACAACTCACCTGGACTAGTTCATCACCTATAATTTCTCGGACAGCATTCAGTGCATTTCCATTGTCTACTCGTGTGAATTTTCCAACAAGTTTGTGTCCCTCAAGGCTCCAGGTCCCCTATGTAATAATAATAATAATAAGGTAGCATTTATTTGGATCGTATACATGTTAGACACTGTTCTGAGTTCTGTAGATACACTTTTTCATTGAATCTTCACAGTGGCTCCATGAAGTAGATACTATTGTCTCCATTTTTACAGAAGAGGAGACTATAAAAAGGCACAGTAATTCACCCAAAGTCACAAAGCCAACCTTGAACCTAGGCCACTGAGCTCTAGAGTATGTATTGGTAACCATGTTTGTCTCCCTCAATAATTTCCATATGCTGAATTTTAAGACCAATGAGTAGGGTTTCTTTTTTCTAAATCTTTCACGTTAAGAAGAGTACCAGATACTTATACTTCAGATTAGCTTTATAGAGAGGTTAACAACTCTGTGCTTATTTTAAGTTGTGATTTTAGTAGTAATTAAAGAATGGCATAATTGATAAAACATTTAACTGTTGAATTGTCATTGCAAACATAAAAAGGGGGGACCCCAAAACATCCAGAATTATCTTTTCTAGAGGGTGGGCTTCTTATAGTACAGGCTTCCTCCACTAGGTAAGGAAGTGTTCTAGGAACCCATCAGTGTCAGTATACCAGCTACCAATGTTTGGGAGGCTGTGTTCAGCTCCAGTAAATTTTGGAGGTTCTTTCAACGTTTGTCCATTTCATGATGGAAAATGTATAGGAATAACCTGCCCACACTGTGCTGAGTGTTTGGCAGTTTCTGACCCAAAATGGCATGACCCCTGTACCCCACCCTTCCTAATCATCTGATCTCACAACAATCGACTTTTTTTTTAGTTTCCCCAGAAGAAAAAAGTCCTCAAAGGGAAACATTTTGCTGATGCAAAAGAGATGAAGCAAAAAATGACAGAAGCACTCAAAGTCACCAAAATCGAGGAGTTCAAAAACTGTTTGAGGCAGTGGAAAAGGCTTCTAGATAGGTGTATTATAACAAATGAAGAGTACTTTGAAGTTGACTGAAGTTCAAACATGTAAGGATAAATACACAACTTTTAATAAATAAATTCCGGATTTTTTGGGTACCCCCAATCATATAACTTAACTAGAAAAATTCTGAGGCTAAAAAACTTTTTAAAATTGTTTGAAAATGAAGACTTTCTAAAATTTTTTTATCTTAAACATGAAAAGATATATACCCAAATGACCTACAATGTAGCATTAGACCTTTCCATTTGATTACTCACTCATTCATTAATTTATTCATATTTTATTATTTCAATGCACTCATTAAGTGGCTATTACATTTAAGTCATATAACCCTAAAAGCATTTGTTGTTTCCAGGCATGAAAACATTAAGCTAGATTTCTTTATGAATAGATCTATACTCAGTCTTTTGGAGAATATTTTTCTAATTCTTACTGTTCAATCCAGATTCGCCACAGATATGTATGAAAATAAAAGCATTACATTCAAATGCCCTGCCAATTTGTGTAATATATAAGATGGACAGAGGTCATTTTGGTATTGAGTAGAAAAATCAAGAATGCATTGCTTATAAAAAGTTTCTTACAGTGAGTTCAGTTCCGTCCGCTAGGCTATAATGAAAAGTGACACCAAGTTCAAAAATAATTTCAATGTTTCGAAAAGTACTTGATTCTTTGACTGTGAATTTATTTCCTTCTTGTGTAATTATCAGTTTCAAATTGTCATGAGCTGCAAGCTTCCTCTTTACCATATTAACACCTGCAAAAGGAAAGACAGGAAAATAAAGTCAAAATGTCATAGAAAGTGTTTATTTTTCCAAGTTATATTTTATTTGCTTTTTTTATTTTGAGGGTAGAGGAAAAACTGGATATTATTGACTTTGCACAAGAGCATTCAGATTTGCTTTGCAGAAGTTCAAGCTCAGTCAGATCAAGAGAACTGATTCAGTTGTTTTTCCAGAACTTAAGAAAAATTGAATAAAGTATAGAACTGTAGAATCTTAGAGCTCAGTAATTTTAATAAGATTAACAATCAAGTTGTTTCAATGTTAAGTAAATCAAAATCTAGGAAATAGCAAATGAAGTATTAAAAGGCATATTCATATATTTATAAGAAAGCACAACTTTAATTCCAAACATGTAGTATTCTTTTTTCTTAAATGCCTCTTTGGCTACCACAATGATTTTTAAATATTGACCTTTTGGGGCACACTTCATCAATAAGGGTACCTGATCTCAAACCAGGTGAAGTGGGGACCAAAGTGAGACCCAAACTTTACCTGTAAAATGACCATTTGTATGCCTAACCCTGAATTATACCCTGCATCTTTAAAATAAAAATTAAAACAAATAAATAAATAATAAAAAAGAAAAATACATACATACATACATATTGAACTTTTTAATTCTCTTTGATTCTTGTGGTGCGTCTGACACAAAAATGGGGAAATCGGTAAACTTTATAGCCAAATTCATTATTATAAGAATCTAAAAATTCCATCAATTTAAACTTGGAATGCCTAAAGTATAGGATATAATTGATGTGATTTTTTCTTTTGGGGGAATGACACAATATTCAATCTTGTACAGTGTATGGGCTTCCAGAATATTGAAATAGATTTATAAATCAGTTAAATAAAAACCCTCAAAGAAAATACATAGTTTCTCAAGATTATTTCCAATATTTTATAAATCAAAGGAAATGAAAATTAAATCTAATGTATTCAGAGCTGTACATTTTGATAGAACTGCTTTCCATTACTTTATTATATGATCTTTGCTTTTCCATCCCCTAGAATTCAGTTTTAAAAATCTGGAAGTTATCATTACACACTGCCATTTTCTTACTCTAAACAACAACAGCAACAAAAAGTCAGTTTTCAATGATATAGGTACAATCAGCAGTTAAAGAGCAAAGGAAACATAACTGAATCTTTTTTGTGTTTCAAAAGACAGCACTCAAAGATTCTTTTCTTCCACTGTCACACCTTCTGGATCCTCACTATCTTTTCAATAGCCATCCCTAAGCCCAGAGGTTTAAGAGCTAGAAAGAAAAATATCTGTGAGAAAGCAAAGTATGAATCACTAAGGAATGAAGTCTTTACCCATTTTGTCCATGAACTTGTCATAGTTCTCACTGCGGTCTACCTTCCAAGTACCGTCAAATGCCATGATCTCAGTTATGTCAGCCTCCAAGCAGTCAGAGACTCAGGTCTGTTCTTAGCAGAGAATTTATTCTATTTCTTATCTTAGAACCAACTTTATACTGTGATGTGGAAGTTTAAAGTTCAAGAGATCACCTAACAATTTACTCTAATGCCAAGCCATTCTAATTTCTATTTTCAAAAATTCCTTAGGTCTTCTGAAAGTCAACTGAATTATACACAATAAGCACATATATTCTGTTTTAAACTATGATTTGTGGGCATATTTATTTCAAGAATTAGAAGCATGCTGTCTGAAGATAATTTTTCTGTTTATAAGTTCAAAGTGCACACTATATTGGAGCTAACATAATTTACAGCATATATCAAACAACATCTGGGAAGTGAGACTATTAATGACCTATCCCTTTTTCACAATGGCAATTACCTTCTAAAGTAAGACTTTGTGATCAAATTCAGCTAAAAACTTAAAGTTAATATGATTATTGAGACTGAAATTTATGTTGCAATATGTCCTTTTGCCCTGTGTTTAGGAGTGCCAGGCATTTGGATAAATATTCTGGTAGCTTATATAGTGCATCACACATACACAATAAGTACTCATTGAATTTTTTGGGGGGGGGTCTTGAATGGCTACTGAGGAGAATTTCAAGAGATAGAAGTGTGACTGGATAACATAATTTTTCTTTCTTTTAAAAATTTTTTTTAGTTGGAGTCTCACTCTGTCACCCAGGGTGGAATGCAGTGGCACGCTCACAGTCACTGCAGCTTCGACCTGCTAGGCTCAAGCGCTCCTTCTGCCTCAGTCTTCCAAGTAGCCAGAACTACAGGAGTGTGCTATCATGCCCTGCTAACTTTTTGATTTATTGTGGAGACGAGTCTCACCAAGTTGCCCAGATTGGTCTCGAACTTGTGGGCTCAGGCAATTCTCTCACCTCGGACTCCCAAAGTGCTAGGATTATAGACATGAGCCAACCCAGTCAATATAACTTTTCATAAGAGAAAAAATCAACTTTAAACACCTGCATGTACAAAGAAAACAAAAACCAGATTTTGGCTATAACATTCATTAAACTATTTCTTTGTTTTACTCTTATTCTCTCTCATCCCCAAACCTGGTAGAGTCAGAAACCACAGCTCAATATATATGTGTATGGGGTGGGGGTGTAGAGAAGGTAGCTAGAAAGGTAAAAAGAAGAGGTCCCCATATCAATCCCTTCCCCACTGCAGGCTTCCAGCCTGGAACAGCTGTGGAAAGAAAACGTTTTAACTTTAGTGTGAAATTTTGACTATTAACTGATCTTAAGATGTTAATTACTAAATAGAGACTATTAATGTGACTGAATGTGACTAGAGAACATCTTACTAAGGGTCAGCAAAAAAGTTCTATGGCCTACCAGAGATATTATTCAGGGTCAGGGGAGGATGCATCTACAAGTTTAAACAGGACATTAGAGAGTAGAATCCTGTTTTTTCTTTCTTTTATTTTAGTTTTAGAATCCTGTTTTTTCTACTTTCATATTCTTTTTTTTGAATTGCGCACTTTTACTTTTATTAGGTAATCACATTAAAAAACAAATTGCCTTCTATTATTTCATTTTTTAAAAATCGTCAGAATACACACACACACAGGCTGTGGGAAAAGGTCTTAGGGAGAAGTCCTTCACATTCATAACTTTAGCTGTTTTTTAAAAAACTGGGTATTTTATTTTTCTCTCTTTTTATGAAAGATAATGAAAACCTTATCATTTGGGAAGCATCAACAAAGTATTCTTTCAACTTAGAGGGAAGTAGATAAGCTTGTGGTTACATTAAAACCAAGGACTAAATTGTTTTTTGGTAATCTACTGCTTATGACAGTTCATGAATTTAGGTGGGAACAATAGGTATATCTGATCACTGAAATATAAATGTGGTGTAGTACAAAGAATATATGTTTTAGAAACAAAATTACTTGGGTTTCATTACTGTTTACAATACTCATTACTATGTAGGACCTTGGTCAGATTACTCAACCTCTCTGAGGTTAGATTTTTCTCAACTAGATAATAATACCTGATTCATAGGGTTTTATGAATAAATTGTACTCACCTGAGCAACTAGTAGACATCAGGTACTCAGTAAACCTTACTTTCTCTTCTAATTCTCTAAGAAAGTAAATCCAACAGCAATAAAAATGTCTAAAAATCATCCCAGTTCTCAAACCACTTTGATATTTTGTGAAGACAGTCTGTGTCTTTCTGATATTCATTTGAAAATCATCTAAAAGTCACTTAGGTATTTTGTGGCTTGCCCTAGTGATCAACTTGGGACTGACTATGCCTTGGATTTCCCTATTAAGGATAGTAGCATACTGTATCACCCTCTGGAAGTATATCTTTCCACTATGTGATCTTTAAACATTCGAAATAAAAGTGTCTCAAGCAGGGAGGTGGGCAGGAAGAAACTAGAAGGGTTTCTTACATTGTTCACCTAACAGTGCCTTCCAAATGTGACCTCACCCTTTGTCTCATGGCTACTTTAAACTTCTCAGGGGGAGCAGAATAGGATCAATTCAAAGCATAATATTTGGACACACACCAACCTGCTAACAAAATAATCATATCAAACTTTCAGTCTTACATTTATGGTTGGCAGTGACCTAATTTCAAGTTTGTTAGGAAACCCTCTTATCTCTGTAGCATGGCAAGATTAGTTAGGGTTTTTTTGTTTTTGTTTTTCCCTCCCCCAGATCACATTTAGCATTACACTTTCTGTAGCTCTGCAATTCTTATAATTTACCTGGACTCCATGTAGAAAAGATTATGCAGAACCTATGGGTTAGTTTCCCTACAGACCTTTCCTACTATTGGTCTGATTGAGTCAAACAGCTGAGAGCAGACCCAGCTTTTTGTTTTCTGCTTTGATAATACTAGATGACTTAAGAGTCCTGCAGTCTGGGAAGGTGAGTGGATTATGTGTGTGTGCATGTAGGTACAGATGTCATGGAGGTAGAGCTATAACTATGCTCTCTCTCTGGGCTCCACAGTTCACATCACCCACTGAGTGGGCTAGAAGAAGTGGAAATGGGCAGAATCCTGCTGATCCCTATTCTATCCCTCAAAGGGAAAGAACAAACTACATACCTTAACATGACTTACAGAGCTGCTACTTATATCTCCAGACTCTTTTTCTATGCCTTACTGTCTACTCCAAGACCTAGACATATTAAACTTCTTGCAGTACCCAATCTCCCATATGTCCATACTTCTGTTACTTAAGGTCCCAGCTTGGATACTGCTCGAAGAATCCTGCCTTGAACTACCAAGAGTAAGTCAGATAACCCTCCTTCTCCCAGGTGTAATCACCTTCTAAAGTTCTGAGTAGCTCATAAAAGGCAAAACAGCTAATCTATTATAATCCAGGAAATATTATTGTCACTGGTGTCCAGAGATATAATTAGCAAGGGCAATAGGATGTTAAAAGCACATCTCAAAGGATTAGCTTTCTAGATAACACAAAAGTACTTTTCTCTCATTCCATCATAGGAGGAAGAGTTTTTCTAGAGTATTATTTTTTATATATCATTAATGAAAACAGCATTTTAAGACATTGTCTTATCACCTCAGAATGCATTTTTTAAAAAATCTCGAGTTGCTTAGTTTGTTTACATGTTAAAGAAAAATAGAGTTCTCTATAGACTCTTATGAGAGGGATTTGACGGATAGATGAGAGGAGTAACAGGAAAGTCTTAAGGTTATTATCAAATTCCTAACAGTGAAGGGGGAATGAGGGGAAGTTCTAAAGCTTGCCTATAAAGTTTACTTCATTCTAATGATTAGCCACTAAATTGTAGGAATGTTTATAACCCACTTAATTATGTTCTAGATTTTGTACCTGAGATGGCTGATTGGTTTTCTTCCAAAAAGACTAGAGGTACTGCAGTGCACAGGAGGCTGTTTGCCAGAGAGTGGTGAGTGTGGCATGTGGATTCTCATTGAAAGATTTTGCATGAAGGATTTGCTCCATTTTTGTAATCTGGGTTTCTCACAAAGATGATGAGTCCCCTTCAAGCAGCATGGATAGGGAGTTGTTTGTCTCCTAGGCCCTTCATACCACAGGAGAAGAAAATGGGTTTGCATTGTCACAGCTCCCCACTGCCACGTCCTAACCATTATGTTCTGCCTTTTTTAAACAAAGAAAACCATTTCCTCCGAGACCACTTCCATTTGGCTATATTACAGCCTACTTTGACTATATTTCAGCCTACTTTATCATAGTTATCTACTATCCAGCTTCTCTAGCATTATCATCCATCATCTATCACTGAAAATCTTGGCACCTGGCTCACTATCATTCCATGTCCAACCATCATCCTAGGAGATCTCAAAGTTCACATGGATAAGCCACTTGTCAGTTTGGACTCCCAGCTCCTTAACCCCCTTGATATCTATGACCTTTACTTCCACTGCTTTATTCACTTTTATCCAGGGCTGAATCCTGTGATTTGTCATTATCAAAACTGCTCCTTCTGTGGAATTTAACATGCCACTCTCTGGCTGCAGCTCTCCAGCCTCTCAGCCTCTTCTTTTCTCATGTATCAGTTCTTAGTGTGGAGAACACTTTAGTCAGTCATTGCCTCGATTTTCTCTCAAGTTGGAGCCCCCTCCTGGTTTATTTATTCACATTCTCTATTCAGTTGATTCCTGTTGCCAATAGAAAAAACTCCCTCACTTTTTCCTGCACTGGCCTAGTTGCTGTTATACATGTATGGTTTCTAGTCTTAGCCTAATCATCAGCGTCTCCTGGCAAGACTTCTGTGTGTGTCAATCAGCTTCATATTTGTGATAGTGGCTGTATTTTTAATCATTTTCCTATAGCCTTTTGCCCTTGCCCTCAGCAAATGGCCTGCATATTACTTCGCATATTGGTTATCAAAGGCATAAGTTCCCTTAATATATGCCTTCTCAGTTACAAAGCTGTCTGTTATTACTTTCTTTACTCCTATTATTTCACCCACTTCTTAGTTCAAAATATATTTAAATTCCTACTATG